CTTCTTCAGCTTCAGTGCCTCCGCACCTTTGTCGAGAGCAACACCTGTGACGATGCCCACGGCGAAATCGACCTGGTAGCACAGCACCGCCGTGATGACAAGGATGGCCAGTTTGATCTTCGCATCCTCTTCCTTGCCCTCGAAGGCATCCTTGATGGCATCAAAGGTGGGAACGAACTGGATGGTGTCCAAGGACACCTGGACCATGATGCCAGCCAGGGCCGGCACGCTGATCTGGCCAACAAAGGGTGCGAGGACCAGGGCAAAGATGACCATGGAGGCCGCGTAGGAGCCGATGGACCACTGCCCGCGGCCGCCGGAGTTGAGATTCAACACTGTCTGGGGGACTAGTCCCGCGCCACCAAAGCCGCCCAGCAGCACGGATGCTCCGTTGCCCGCTGCCAGGGAGAGGATGGTGGATGTGGGCACGTCGACGGAGAGGGGCGTCTCGGGGTCTGTGCCCTGCATCACCAGCTCACCGTTCTCGTCATAGAAGAACCTTGGCCAAGGCTGGATGCTGGGGGCCCTTGAAGCCTGCAGAGTCTACGAAAAAATGACTTGCAACGTTGCCAGGAGGCGTGCAAAGGTCCTCGCACTTACGGTCGTCCACCACACGGGCCGCGAGGAGCGTCTCGATGAGGGAGATGAAGGCGATGGAGATGGCACAGGGGAGGGCAAGCTGCACATCATCCATGGAGGGCATCTGGGGCAGCTGGAATGGGGGCAGCGCAGCCAGGCCGCCGGCGAAGGCAGCGGGGTCCTTGGCCTTCATGGCGAGTGTGGGCACATCGAAGTTAAAGGCAAGGCCCACGGCCGTGGCAACAGCGAGGCCAACAAGGGAGGACGGGATCGGCGCCGAGGGAAGAAACTGGGTCAAACCAGCGCAGATCGCTGCAAGGGCAAAACCCATGGGCGTGGAGAGGGCTCCAAACTGCGACACCAGCAAGGCCAAGCCCAAAGCGTTCAGGAAACCCGCCAGCACCTCCTTGGAGACGAGGTCCAGGGTGCGGGCGAAGCCCACCAAACCCGCCACGAGCTCGATGGCGGCGGCCAGCAGCACCACCAGTGGAACTAGCCCCAGGCCGTTGGCGGCCGTGAAGGCGCCCAAGGGCACAACCACCACAGCCGCGGAGCCGGCCACGACACCAGGGCGCATGCCGAAGAGGCTCGCGAAGCCCAAGGCAACAGAGGACCAAAGGCCGACCAAGGGCCCAGTGCCGACGATGGCGCTGCAGGCAATCGCCTTGGATAGCAGCGAGAAGGCCACGCTGATGCCCGCCAGGATCTCTTCAGTGATGGAGCTCTCTCCAGTCACCGGCTCGGCTGCCGCATCCACCCCAGCGGCTCGCTCGATGGAACGGAGTTCTGGTGCGCTTCTCTCGTTGCCCAGGCCCTTGGGTACAGGGCCGCCCGGACCGGCCAGGAAAGCCTTGTTGTTGTGGAACCACAACGCTATCCCGAGGAGCGCCAGGAGCAACGCACGGCGGAAGTTGCTGTGAGGAGCCATCGTCAAAGAAGCAATACCTTGAAAGTCTCGGAGGGAGCTCGACTCTCGCCTGCTTTCAACTTGGTCCACAACTGCAGAGTTGCAGGCATGCCTAAGATGAGAGCGACCGCCATCGCCTGCCAAACATCCACACTGAGATAGCGGCCAATCAGCAGTTTGGAGACTTACCAGAGATCCTGTCAGCTGAAAAGTATGGATTCAGGACAAGCCAGCATACGCAATCCAGCGGGGCAATGCTATGCTATTCTACTATACTATAGGATACTTTACCAACTCTACTATACTACTACTACTACTACTACTACTACTACCACCACCACCTTCCGAAACCCATCGAGCCAGCCTATGTACACTTGCACCCCTACACCCGCGCCCATTGCACCCTACACCCCACATACACGTACCTGCACGTGTAGGCTCAATACACACCATAGGCTGCATTGCTCTTAAAGTTGATAAGTTTACTATAATAGAGTACGAAAATATAGAAGAGGACACTTTCACATAGCATAATATAGCGTACTATACCATAGCATACCCTAGCATACGATCGTATACTGTTATACTACAGCATCTGGTAACCTGCTATAGTCTTCTATGCATTGTACTATGTTAAATCCTGATCTTTCATGGCACAGGAAGCCTGAGGCAATGGCGTAGCGAAGAGCGTTTCAGGATTCAGGACCTCGGAGCCCCGACACACAGCATTCTAGCTGCTGTTGTCGCTGTCGCGCTGTGTTGTCGCAGTGGAAAGGACAGAATGCTTCTTAGGTTCTGATCTGACCTCCACTCNNCCAAAGCGAGCGCCAGCACTTCCACAGCACTGCGAGTGAGGAAGCGATGGTGCGCCCATGGACAGCCCCGAGCTCTTGAAAACTTGAGCAAAAGCCCTCAGTTCAAATGTCCCACAACTCCCTGCAAACAGTGCAATGACGTTGCAAGCATTGGGCTGGCACGACTTCCCCATGACCGGCACGACTCAACCCGACCACATGATAAGAAGCCGGAACCCTGCAGCCAGCAGCCAGCACAACCCGTCTGTCCCAACTCAACAGCGTGCCCTGGAGGAGGAACGGAGTAACCTTGTCACAGCACCTATCCGCACTGCACGTGGAGGGAGGTTGTACCGAAGCTTCGAGGACAGAACCCTGATTGCACGAGTGCGACTAGCTTTAAGATGTTTGAAATTTGATGTTATCTGTATATATATATAGAGAGAGAGACACACAGAGTGAGAGTGTGTGAGAGAGTATGTGAGCAAGCATGCAAGCAAGTAAGCCCGGCAATGGTAACATGCACATCGCTGCGCGAAATTGTGTAGTATGCGATTCGCCAGCCTCTTTGGCCGGCCACTGCGGGGATCGGGGACCTGGGGAGGAATCCAAGCTTCAGGGCTTCACAAGGCCTCAAAGCTTTGCAGCGCTAAGGTTTCTGTGATTGACGGCTCGGTTGCTCAAAAACGGTGCTCAGAAGCTTGCCAGGGGGATGTATCACACTAGCGCAGCACAGCCCTTCTGTCCAAGTCCTCTTGCAAATGGCTAATATGGCAGGTCACAGACCAAAGCTCTGGGTGTGAACAACGCTCCCATCTCAGGGCTCGGCCATGGGACGCTTCCGATCACCTTTCACTGCACGTTTGGGTGGGCGCAATGGGGGCTTTGGGGGCAGTCTGGCTTGGGTCGAGTCTATGGCGTGTGCAGGCGTGCGTTCAAGCCGTGGGTTCTACTTTCAGCCAGGTAGAGGAGGTTCGCAGGAATTGCAGGCTGAAGGCGACATGAGGCATTTCCTCTTTGCTTCTCGTCTCATCGTCTCATCCATCCAAGCTTCATTCAGAAACAATCCTTCCCGAAGGAGTTCAGAAAATATTGAGAGGTCCCCTCTTCATACGGAGCTTCAAATCATCCTAATTACGGCAGGGCCATGCAGAAGTATAAGAGCGTACAATGCATAAAGTTCCTTTGTTTCTGTTGCCAGTCCTGCAGCCCGGCCAGCTTTCAAAAGCCAGTCTCAGTTTGCCAACCGAGCAAGCGCACACTCTGGCATGCTCTTGAGGCGATCAGGACAGCTCTGCTGTCTGTCTGGCAGCATTCACCTAGAGTATGGAATCGAAGAGTGGTGGAGCACGATTTTCAACTTGCCGTCGGGCATCTTCTGGTAGGCAAAGCTGTACTCCACCTTAGCAACGTTGCTGTCATAATCGGTGAAGAAATAATTCCCCTGGGCAAACGCAAGACCATCGTAGCAACTGATCTGGCTATTCTCAAAACGCACCTCTTTCCAGCCCTTGCCAGCGTTGATAGCGAAGCCTTTATCCTCCTTGAACCCTGCCGGCTGTATGGCATCGTACCCAATGAAGTAGGACAGTGCACCTTCTGCAGACACTCGGAACGGCGTTTCTTTTGCCTTGGTCGGCTTGAAAAGAACGTTTCCGACGTCGTATCCATAGAGTTCACCTGCAGCAGCCTTTGCCACATCCTTGTACTTCTCTCCCGTTGGATTGCTCAGGTACTCTTTGGAGATGCTTAAGATGGCTGCCTTCCATTTGTCCTGAACGTTCGTAACATCCGCTTTGCACTGTCCGTTAGGCCAAGCTTGTCCAGGCTTTTGCAAGGAACCGACGAAGGGATCCGAACGGATGATCTCCTCTGCCCAAGCCGGTCGAGTCAGGGAGACTGTCGCCCCTGCGGCGAGACCTCCCAAGGCGAATCGTCGCGATGTTGGCGCAGGGGGTTGGAGGAAGCTTGTCGTGCCCGCCGAGCAGACAAAGACGACGGCAATTCCTGCCATGGCAATTGCTGCCAGTGCCAGGAGTCTTGACGACGACCTGCGGCTAGAGGGAGCTTTTGGATTGGCCGCCATAGCAGAAGCCGCAGAAGCTTGAAAAGGCGGCTGAACTTGAGCTGGAAACCCAGAGCTGCAACACGCACATCATTCAATGGGACTGAGAGAAGAGTTTCCTCTTCACTGAGCTGAACGAACTTCGCAGTAGACGTCAAGGAACTGCTCACATGGCCTCTATCGGCGTCGCAGGCGCAGCAAAGCCCCTGCCGGCAACATGTGTGCGAAA